GGTTCTCAACCTGTGGGTCGGGACCCCATTTGGGGTCGATCGACCATTTCATGGGGGTCGCCAAGCAAGGCTGTCCGCCATTTTTTTTGTCCGCCATTTTTTCCCCCTTTTCCAGCGGGTGCCTTACCTCCCTTGGGCTGGGCCAGCTGGTGGTCGGCCTGCTCCGTCTCTGCCGCTTGCCAGCTACGCCTCGGCCGGCACAGGGGGCGGAACCGCGCATACGCGGCGCTCCCGGGCAGGGAAAGTCCTCGACTTACGACCGGTTGGGTAGTCCTCGACTTACGACCGGTTTAGTCCTCAACTTACGACCGGTTTAGTCCTCGACTTACGACCGGTTTAGTCCTCGACCTACGACCGGTTGGGGTCGCGGCATTAAAAAGGTTGAGAACCACTGCTGTACGCCATGGCTGGGAGAGGAAGATACTTGGATTATTTCATAGCATCTAAAACTGGAATAATTTGGAGCAGAAGAAGTAGATGAATGCCCTTTGAAAGTTGTGGCCCTTATGAAGCTTTTTTTCTGCACAATTTAAAAACATAACCTGATTTTTTTTCCTATTGTTTTGTTTTGGATGAGATAGCAAATGTTTGTTTTTTATTCCCCTCCAGAGTCAGGATTCTGGTTCTGACAATCATATAAATACAGTGAGCCTCAAAGAAGCATTGGAGAGGTTTGATCACAGCCCCACACCTTCTGCCTCCTCTAGGAGTTCCAGGAAATCTTCCCATACGGCGGTTTCGGATCCTTCATGTGAGTGTCGAGAATTGAAACCTTTTCCTTTGGTTGACTATTTATAGTCTGTTTCTGACATGTTCTGTTTGAAGCTAAGAGACAAAGGACAAGTGATTACATTGGGAGTCTGTTTTCAATCTTAAAAGCTTTATAATTTCCCAGTGAAAGACTTAAGCATTTGTCTAAGCGTATATATGTTTTAGGTGGTTAATGAAATTATCTTTCAATATTCATTGGCTGCTGCTTTAGCAACCCCGACAAAGATGACAGTGGATACCAGCACTCCTCCAAGGCAAAATTTATCTGCACATGAAAAGTCTGCACAAAGGAGAGCTTCGCTCGGTAACCAGGTAATTATTTAGAACAGTGGTTCTCAACCTGTGGGTCGGGACCCGATTTGGGGTCGATCGACCATTTCACGGGGGTCGCCAAGGAAGGCTGTCCGCCATTTTTTTTTGTCCGCCATTTTTTTCCCCTTTTCCGGCGGGTGCCTTACCTCCCTTGGGCTGGGCCAGCTGGTGGTCGGTCTGCTCCGTCTCTGCCGCTTGCCAGCTACGCCTCGCCCGGCGCAGGGGGCGGAACCACGCATGTGCGGCGCTCCCGGGCAGGGAAAGTCCTCGACTTACGACCGGTTGGGTAGTCCTTGACTTACGACCAGTTTAGTCCTCGACTTACGACCGGTTGGGGTCGCGGCATTAAAAAGGTTGAGAACCACTGATTTAGAAGTAGCATCATTTCTCCAAAGTTAAGAAGTGTTACTTTCGTTCCTTAAGATTAAGAAGAACAGCAAATACTAGCTAGAAGGTTACCTCATCATCCAGTTTACACTTGATCATTTTGGAAACTTTCAGATATGTAGGGGGCTTTGCCCTGTGCTCTATATATGCATTTTTATAGTACATTTTTGTTTATGTCACCCAGTACATCTATCTGGCTGTTCAAGTAGTATAGAAGGTAACACATATTTGAATGGAAATTAGACTTTAATACATTGCAATTTGGTGAGCTGAAGATGATGTCTTTCAATTGAACCATTTGGTTATAAATGTTGTGATGTTCACGTTCTTTAGAATTACTTTTCTATTTGCATCTCTTTCACGTCAGGTAACCATTTGGTGCAAAGACAAAGATGTTTATAGAAAGTTGTTATAGTCCCTGAGAGCAACACAGGGATAAATCTCTGAGGTTTCCTCTTTGAATGTTTGTTCTCCATTGGCCTCTGTGGGATGTACATTTGACATTTTTTATGAGAATTTATACTAAGGCAAATCAGAAGCAGCAAACTGACTTTATTAAATGATTTTTTACACGGCCCAAATTCATTCTTGTTAGTATATGACAGGATTTGTTTTTATTCAGCTATGTTAGTAGAAACAACTAACATAAATATTTTCCTGATATCATTGCCATTAAAATAGAGTTCTGCTTTAGTTTCATCAGATGTGAAAGAAATGTAACTGAATAATTATATGTATATTTTTTTTCCAATTTTAGTCTTTAAATTCACAATCTGTCGGGCAGCCTCTGGCACAACCAATGATGACCCAGCCTGCAACTTTACAACTTCAGCAAGGCATGTCTCAGGTAGCAACTCAATCTGAA